TCGGGAATAAGCTCTTTTCTGGTCTAGCAAGTGAAAGGTTAATAGAGGGAGTCATTGTGGTTTCTAATAAGGAAAAACATTAATAAGGCTTAAAAAAGTAGATCCAAGAATGATCTACGTTTCCACTGTTTTCATCCAAGTGAAGCTTTTTTCAATTTAAAATAATCAATAACACTTATATAGGGAAATGATTTATTTTGGACTTCAATAGTGATGAAGGGCACTTAAATATAGAATATAATTTTAGATTTGCTCATCAACATTCATGCTATAAGATAAGGGCTTTCTTAAATTATGAATTATTGTGTTTCACAGGATACAAAGACTCATTTACAGGCATATTTGTTTCCTTTATCATTCAACAGTGCAAATAGTGGAGCACTGAGATTGACATAGCTTAGTTTCTAAATGTGTCTCCTGGTAATATAGTAGGAAATCAATTAATGCCTGATGGCTGGCTACTGCTTAGCAGTGCCCATGGAAGCTCTGTGCATAGCAGATTCCACTGCAACCCAGAAAAACTGTAGCAATAGTTATTTATACAAACTTAGGCAAGACAAGAACTATGACAACTACCGCTCTGTGAGCTGTGAATTAACAAATAATATGTACAGAAAACACGGACACAAAGGCATTACAGTAAAAACATAATTTAAAAACTGGACAAGATTCCAGTGGTTTTTAATATTGTACCAATGGCTATTTAAAGTCATATACATATACACACACACAATATGCATACATGTAATTCATATGCAAATGGATTTATATTCACACATATGTAATGTATGTATGTGGATATATATGTATATATATAATTTGTGTTTGTGAAGATATAAGATATATATCTCATATATACATGTGTGTGTATATATATATGTATAATCTACATGTAACATAGATATTTACCACTCTGTAAACTCTGCTCTTAGTTTTCTAAGTCTTAAAAACAGCAAAATATTACTGACAACAAACAAAGCAACTTGCATTGACAGTGACTTTTCATACTGACTTATCTGGAGCAAGTATATTTCCTGTACTAGTGAATAGATTACAGGAAATACAGTTAATTCTCTTAGAATATTCATGCCAAATGCAACTCTCAAAGTCACTAAGTCTGACCTCCACACTTTACAATGGAGCAACAAAAACAAGTGAGGAAAAATTACTTTCCTGGTATTCACATTAGCAATGCTAAGACCTAAAAGACAAATTGCCAAACATCCTTTTCTGTGTTCTTTTCGTGAGTCAGAAAAATGCCCTAAAAGACTTTTGCTGTTACCTCCCTCTCTATAGCACCATTAGGAGTTTTCTTTCAGACTGAACCAAGTACGGAGCCACCTGCAAACTCTAAATGACCAATGCGATATAAGCAGATAGGGAGAAGGAATGAAAAATGTGGGTTGACCTGCGGATAATCAGGAATTGACTGGAGCCAAAGCAAAAATTAAGCAATATTTTTCAAGTTTACATATATTACATCAATTACCTGAGAAGAGGGCAAAGGTGGTATAGTAGGAGAAAAGCCCTTTAAATCAATTAAACGAAACGTTTTCAGTTACACTGCTTTGTATCATTCTAAGTAGGTACCAGTCTTGCTGTGATTATGTATTGTACAGCCGAATGAGCAAAAAAGTTCATTATCCTCAGCTAAAATGTAGGCAGTGATTATATTTTCAACGGACAAGTAAAAATAAGATAAAAAGAAAATTATACTCAGAAACTCATGACCCTGTCAACAGTGACTTATTTTAACGGCATCTTTAAATTCATAGGAGAGGCTGCTTGCTCCATATGTTAAGATTTTAAAAAGAATGGAGACATAAAAACAGGGACAGACAATGTAGAAGGGGAAATTCGCATTGAACAAGTCTTTGCCTGCAAAGAACATAGTGGCATCAGAGAGACTGGTGACAGACTGTTGATAATATCATTCTAAACTTTAGTTTCGCCTGAGGAAGCAGAATAGTCAGACACACAGTCACCCTAAATTTATCCCTATAGGGAGGTTTAGACCATTATTTTTTGCCTATAAAACCATAAACTGTGAATGAAGAATGGGGGAACTCTTTCTTTCTGGAGTACCCCTTATTCTTTTTACTCTTTTCCTTATTCTTTTCATACATTTTTCAAAGATGAATACGAGAGACCCTGCTCATCACTGCTAGACCGCCTGGGACTTCTCTTCACTGGCATGGCCACCTGCAGCTGCTTCCAGAACCTGCCCTGTGGATACTTGGATTTTTCCCCTTTCCATTTAATGACCGTGAGCACCGTCTTAGCCCTCTTCAGCTCTTTCACCTTCGTTTCCTTCACAGCTTTGTACTGTACTAAAATGACGTTGATGTTGCCCCGAGAGGCCATATTTTCTAGGCCAGCCTTGAGCTCCAGGAGGGCTTGGGTTCCCTGGAGCACGTAGTTGGGGCTTAGAACAACCAGGAGCCGTCTGCTTTTCTGAATGAAGCTCAAGGTCTCATCTGTGACAACTGGGAAAGAAAACAACCATGGGGATTAGTGTTGGCCAAAAACTCCCCAAAAGCATGGGACTTGAGGAGCAAATGAAGGGAACTTACGGTAAACTTAGCCTGAGAAGCAAATGAAAGGAACTTGGGGTGAACTTAGCCTGAGAATTGAGATGAAACTTTTTGCCAGCAAGTTTGAACAACTCAATCCTTACCTAGAAACTCTGTTCATTGAATACCACTGTGTTCAGAGAAAACAGAAAGTATAAACACATATTTCCAAAAAAAATTCCAAACAGGCATAAAGCCAAAAGGTAGTGCATTGTTATGACACCTTGATCTTCAAAAACGATACTTGAGACAGAAGGAATAGGTGTGTTATACTGAAATCAGTTTCTTCAAAGTGTGTAGCATCTTACAGTCCAGTCACATCAGCTCATGGGCCCTTTCTTTTCCAAAGACACCCATGCATAAACTCTCTAGTACCAACAGACACTCAAAAATACATATATTACATAATTAAAATAATAGAATTTTATATTTTGCTAGGACAAGACAACAAAGGGGGACCTTCATCTTCTGAGAGTCCCTCTCTCTTGGTGGATACCTCTGACTCGAATATCACTATGTCGTTGCAGTAGAAACTTAAAAAAAAATCTAGCCACTGAATGGCATTTTGGCTGGTAACACATTCTCAGTTCGGCTTTCTACTTTTGTCTGCACTGGAGCCTAAATTAATCCCTGATCTTTCTCCTCAAGCTCCTATTGTTACCATACAGACACGTGTCTCGGCAGCTGTGTCTGCTTTCACTAACAGGCAAATGCTTTCTTCGAGGGAAAAAGATGAAAAAGCAGGAAAAACGGAAAAGCAATGTAATTTTATTCTGCTGTCAAGGGCTCTGATTAATTCCTGTCACTAAATTCTTGGAGCCAATCCTTCTCCTCACAGTTGCTTATCGCGGATTGCATAGACCTTTACCTGTGGTTCAGATGGCTGCCAACTCTAGGTAACTTACTAGTGCTGTGGAAACTTACATCATGGCTGACTATACTGCCTTATGAAGTCATTTTGCCCGTTAATGTTCACAGGTTCAGAAATAGTAGAGAAAGACTTGCGATTAAAATCTAGCATGCACAGCCTGGAGGAGAATCCAGGAATGATTGTCTGCTTCAAGCAATGGCACTGGGGGCTGAGCATGTGTAAGCATAGAAAGAGACTCAAGAGTCAAAGAGGACTGGCTGAGAGCAGCTGGAAGAATACAAAAGGATGCAAAAGCTAACTAACAAAAACAAGATGGGAGAGTAATTCTGTAGAACTTGAATTCTTTAAAGAATTACCACCCGCTATTGGAGGGTCTTACCCAGTTCCATGGTAGACAAGTATTTGTTGAATGGCTGTATGAACAAATAAATGGGTGAATAAATGATTGGGGAAATTAAGTATTAAAATGAGTGGAATTTATCATTTAAATGTATAATTAAGTCATAAATTCCTGGAAAAATTATACTGAAAGAGATGTCTTACAATGGACTTTTGGGTGCTGATTGGGGAGATAAAATAACTGATCCAACTAATTCAAAATGAGAATAAAATTTCAAGTTTATCTCAATTATCCATGCAATATTTTAAAAATTTGTCAAATTATGAATGTAAGCTGTATTTGAGGAATAAAATTGGTTTGTCATGCTTATGATTAGATATATTACATGCATTTCAACAGGACAAAGTTTAACAGTGGGTTTGGGAATATAATTTATATGTTTATTAAAAGACACCGATGAAAAACTACTTTGTGTGTCCCTGTGTGGATGTAAAAAGGAGTTGTACTTTTATTTTAATACATTCAGCAATTTAAGCATTTCTTTTTTTTTTTTTTTAACATCCTACTTACACTGGTTCTTACAACATTTTTAAGTAACCCTCAAATGTATAAGCTGACAGGAAAAAGAAACAGAACCAAAGAAAGGGGGAATTTGAGTAGCACTATTTCACTTGAAAAGAAAAGTGAGGGGGGAAAAAAGAGCAAATGCCTTAGGAAAATATTGTAATTATTATGAGTGAATGACATAAGGACAAATTCTACGCACAATCTTCTGCCACTAAGTTTTAGTAAAGCCAAGTAAACCCGTCTTTCTAAAAACAAAACCAACCCATTTTTTTAAAAAAAATTACTCAGTCTTGTAAAACGATTCTAGACAAACCAATGTAGATTAGCCTAAACCAAAATATCTAAATGTGAATAAACAGGATGTTTAAAGCCACGGCCCTTTAATAGAACTCTAACCCACTGTGCCTCCACACTTTTCTGACATGCAGCTCTGAAAGATTACAAGGGCAAATATTTTAATACCATAAACTGAGTTGAATAGTACACATCTTCTAATGTAGTTTTATTTCTAGAGGAGTCTGTTACATCAAAAAGCATCTGACATTAAATATCCAAAGATGCTGTACCATGACTCTCACCCATAAAGCAAAACTAATGATTCTCTCTGCCTTTCAAGGTAGTATCATTTATACTCATCTGAAATACCTACTTCCCCCAGGCAGACTGTCTCGGTCAAAGATGCACAGCTTGTATCCAAATTCATTCTCCAAAACTCCACGAAGGGTCAGTAATACAAATTCTTCTTCTTCAGCATTCCTTGCATAGGATACATAAATATCATACTCCTTCCCATCTAGCAAAAGGAACACAGATACAATATAAATTAGGAAAATTACATAATACCATTACATTTTTATCTGAAATCTAACTTCTGCATATAGACATTTTCATTAAGTGACAGATTCCAGTACAATTTTCTACTTGCAACAAGTCTCCAGGCAAAACGACTATTTGAAGACGTAATTTTGAATGTTCTGTGATGTATCCTCAACTCTCATCTTACAGGCTACTTTATGGTAGAAAAAGAGTGAAGTTTGCCCCATTCAACTGTAAATTAACAAAGCCAGAAGGTAAATCATAGATGCTGGCAATTGATACTCTGCAGAAAATTTCAGCTTCCCATCCTAGCATATCACTCATTAATATATTAAAATTACAAACTGAGCAAAACTTTGTCAAACTGACTGAATTATTTATACCTGAAAAGAACTAAAATTAAAAACATAATTAGATTTAATGGACCGCTCTTTCACAAAGTTGCTTAATTATAAAAATTACATATCATTAAAAACCATTGATTCTATGTTTCTTCCATAAGCCTAACTGAATTAAAATCTTTATGGGGTGGACCCACGAATTCGTATGTTTAAATACTCTATTTTTTTCTCTAGGGAAATTTGCATGAGACCCGTGCTTTTTAAATGTTAATGTGCACACGAATCACTTCTAATAAGCTACACATGATGTTGCTGCTGGTTCACAGATCACCATCTGAGTACAAGGAATGTGGATCAGCACTGTCCAACACATCAGCCAGGAGCCATGTGTCTATTGCTCACTTAAAATATGCCTGGTTTGAACTGCGATGTGCAATAAGGATAAAGCAGAATACATTTTAAATTTTGAACATTTTTAGAACCAAAAAGTTCTAAAATATCTCATTAACTTTTTAATATTAATTGCATGCTAAAAATAGTATCATAAATATATTTAGTCAGTTCATTATTTTTGCTTGTTTCTTTTTTACTTTTACTAAAGTGGTCACTGGGTAATTTTAAGTTAGATAAGTGGCTTGAACTATATTTCTATTTGGACAGTGCTAATTTAGAATCACTCACTTATTAATCCAAAAAAAGAGAATAATAATCTGTGAAAATATTTTTAATGGAAAGAGCTGAAATTAAAGGTAATCTGCTTAAATCTTCCAGTTAATCTAGGTTTTATTAGGTCAACATGTTTTTTTTTTTTTTTTTTTTTTCTGACATGTTTTCTAAAGATGACAGAAGAGGTTTATGTCATATTTCTGTTACTTACCTAAAATGGTTTCATCTGTTCCAAAATGAGCCCGGTAAAATAGGACCATCTCTAGCCAGTAAACATGGTAGACAACAATGAGAATCACCACTAGCAGGACTGTGGCTCCAAAACCACAAGCCAGTTCTACTGTGTATCTTGGAGCTGGCACTGGAATGAACAACGAAGAAAGAATTGATTTCTGTGTGGTGACCACAGTGACCCATCATCCTGGAAGATAGCTGGATAAGCCAAGCAACTTAGCTATGCACCTACCTATGTATGAACAATCAGAGATAACATTGTAGAGTTTAGTAGTATTTTAAAATACTTAGACTGTGTCATATTTATCTTTTTGTTTCCAGCACCTAGGAGAGGAGTTTTTTATCTGAATAGTCTTTTATAATATATAAATTAAAACAGAATTGTAACGTCAGGTAGGGCTTAGAAGGTCACCTAGTTCAAGTCACAATTTGACACCTAAATCTCCTTTAAAATATTTTTGAAAATTATCATTCCATCCTCTGTCCATATCTTGGGATGGAGTTCTCATTGCTACCTGAAGAAATCCATGGTATTGGACAGTATTAGTAAAATTTTAATTGTTTATGCAGCTGATTTGAGTAAAAATCCTAATATTTTTCCATTAGTTTTAGTTTCATTCCCTTGTCTAATGTAGTATGAAAGGAATTTTATTATCTTTCCTTTCTACTTGGAAATAAGCCTCAGAAACGTTATTTTCATTGTGCAGAAGTAGAGGGCATCCACCAAATGCTGAATATGCCTGGTTCTAGAAGTCATCTCCTATGTTCACAGTTCTTCAGTACATATTCTAGAGATAAGCATGCAATATCTGGTTATGCAAAGATTTCGTCATTATCTACTTATTTTCTACATTATAGTCACCTTTGCAGTTTCTTTGGAAGTATCAGAAATAGAGTGAGGTAACTCCCAATTACTTAAACAACAGATATTAACTCATTAGTCCTATAGTCAAGGTCTGTTACACCAAATTACTAACCACCTTCCTTCCTTTCTCATTTACCACTGTCTCTTCACAAAAAAACAACAGAAAGATTTAATGTCATGACTTTTTCTCATGCTGTGACTTCTGGCTGAAAGTTCTTTCTCTTTCTAGTTTCCAAGTCCATGCTCAAATATCATTATTTTGTATAAGCTTTTGTAGAATACAATTCTTATTACAACCTGGCTCTGCCTTGTAGAAATTCTTACTCTTCCCTTTGTTTGTTATTCTATTACAGTGTTACTGATTGTATTGTAATTTGTCTACAGGCCAGCTTCTTCACACCCTCTCATTTCCCAGGAACTATACCTTTACAGTCTTTCAGGTAGAGATTGTGTCTTTTTCATCCACCATATCCTTAGAACACCTAGTGTTTCAATGAACATTTCCAGATATAACACTTTACACTTCTGGGATATTTAGAAGAAGACTATTACTAAATTATGTTTCAGCCATTTTATTTAGCTGCTTTGTTAGCTTTTGATAATGAAGTCTAAGTGTTTGAAGGAGGAACAGTATATTTGCTGGATCTGAAGCAGGAGGGGCTTAAATTATGGATCAGTCAATCTGATTATTATTTATTGATATCTACCATTTGCCAGATGCTTTTGGGGAATGGTAAATAAGACAGAAAGTGTCTCTCCCCTTTTGTGTCTAATATTTTAATTCAGGGAAGTAAATGTCTAAAGAAATAAATCAGCTGGTTAATTTTAAATAGTAGTTAGTGATATAAGGGAAATAAACCATGCTAATGTGACAGAGGTGATTGAAGGGTGGGACTGGAGCAAGGGAGGTATATTGCATAAGGTGGAGAGGGAAGGCTTCTGTAAGCTCCTAGAACATTGCAGGTCTTAAATATTTGCTGAGACACAGCTTAGAAGAATCTCATTCAAAGCTGGGATTGCTAATAGAGGCTCCCTGACTCCAAAATGCAGGGAACTCTGAACACCACCATGATGAACTCAACTATTGATCATACTATAGTGGAATAAAATCACTTTTATGAACCTTGAGAGCTTGTTTGGAGGTTCTAGCAGGGGGCACAGCTACTTGTATACCCTTGGTCAAAGACCAGTCCCCCACTATTGGGGATGGTTGTCCTCTTCCACTGAGCATGCAGCTTCAGGAAGGAGTCACATGGAGCGGTGAGGGAGGAAGGGGACACTGATTAATGGGGTGACAGATGTTGCAGCCAGGTCACCCTCACATCCAGGAAATCACTTCTTAAAAAGTTATCTATTCAAAGCAGAAAATAGTAAGTAGCCTGGAGCTGAGCCTGAAGTTCTCTTATTAAAGGGCAAATCATAGGGTTTTGATTTTATTATCCTAAACTGGGGATATTAATCCTGCCACAGGTGTAGCCTGGGACTCAGCAGTGTAAAATTATCATCAGGTACTCTGGTACTCCTTCCATGAATAATGGTGCCTTAAAATAAGAAAACTCCATGATAAATTCCAGAAGCTATGTTAGTGCAGTTGCTGAAAATTTACTAAGATCTATTTGAGTAGCTGGCATGAAAATCACTGTGTCCTTGGTGTTTCTGAGTATGTTATGTTAACAGTACAATAGGGTAATTTCCACTGTTATTTCCATTATTTGCTCAGTTGTTTTGGCTCTCTCTGGATGAACATTTTGCAATGGGGCTGGAGGTTGTCGTTGGCTGCACTTACCTGAAATTGATTTTTTAAAAATGCCAATAGAGAGCTTGCTTAATGACCAAGAGATCAATTACCCTCATAAATTTCCCTCTGCCCCATTTGTTTTATTACTGTCCATTTTATTTCTAATGGGGCATTTTAATTCTGTTTCATGTCATACAATCACATGTGTCATATTTACAGACTGTATTTTGTAGAGCTATCTTGATAAAAAGGAGTCAGTAATGCTACTTAATGAATTGAATTCTTAAAATAAATCATCTACCAAGCTGGATTTTCTAAATAGCTTAAGCTACATGCCAGAAGTTCTCTACAAGGTTTTCATGTAAAGCAGTGCTGGCTTACAGGGAAAGAGTGACCCTCAGACTACATTTGCTGACTGCCTAGCTAGACTGCCAGGTATTTTAACATAAAGATTTCACTCTGATGCAATCCCAGACTAAAGAATTTCCAATCAGAAAGGCATGATGCAATATGACTAAATTGGATTCCTAAACTCCTTCCTTTATTGATTTTACTAATAATCTGATTCAGGATGTAGCCAAATTTAGCTACATGCTTATTGTTGCTCCTTGAATCAGAATTTCCTCCATCTGTTTTTGTAGTTCAATGTAAATAACTGGCTTCAAAGCCAAAATTTCCAGGTAACCACCCTTGGTTAAAACAGGTCAACACCTTAGTTCTTGGTATTTTCTGTTTTGAGTTTTTGCTCTACAATCGTGTTTCTCCTAGAAAATCTGAGTTATTTCCATCATCTTTACTATTGCAGTTGGGGCATTGCTATCCATTTCATGTCCCAGCTGAATGCCAACGGCTTCACTTCCAAGTGTTCCCTGTCACAGAACCCATGGCTACTCTGTGCTAAATTGGTGGGACTGATTGATAATTTTTGGAACTGTGGTAATGACCATTTTACTGAGTTGTAAACAAAGAAAATGTTTTATTAAAATTATGATAAAGCAGAGACCTATGACTAAATTGACTACCAGACATTATTGATTTGGCTACTATAGTGTGTTAAAACTTGCACATTTTGGACTTCAGCTTCTTTTTTTAGACGAGTAACTAATACTGGACTAGCTCTCCTTCCATACCTAAAAAAACAATTTGTAAAATGTTGGACAACTGGTAATACAGGAATGTGATCTGTGAGAGAAAAAGACAAAAAATTGTAAACCCTCTGATCACTCTGGCTTTTTGACTAAAGGCACCTTTTAAACTGTGGCACAAAAAGGGGAAAGTCAAAAAAAGAAATGGTCAGACTGAGCTAAGAAGACAGAAATTGGAGTTCAAGACTGCTGCTGAATCAAACTGCATTTACAGAGAAGACAGCTATATAGAGATGGAATTCTAGAAATCTGCACAGGATTACCTTGAGTCTTTGGCCAAATACAAAGCTACACATATTTCGGGGAACATATTTAAAGGTTAGGCAAAGAATAGCTGGGAACAGAACAACTCTAGGAGAACAAGAAGGGCTAGGAGACAGTTGAGTACAGCCCACTCAGAGTGAAGAGATTTTGTTTAACTCCCCAATATTAATTAGAGACTCCAGATATGACATGTTTTAGAAGTAGCTCCAATCTAATCCTACAGAAAAGGCTATTTCAGACCTACTTTAACAAAGATAAGATGCTTTTAAAAAAGCAAGCAATTATGCAAGTAAATTAATTTCCTGCTAGAACAAAATTTAACACTCTTACAAAATTCAGAACTCAATATTGTAACATCCATAATATCCAGCATATGATTTTTAAAAAGCTAGTTTAAAAAGGTCCATATTAGCTAATAAATAGATAGCTAATCAAAACAGATCAAGGCTTGACAAAAATGGTGGAATTATCAGATAAACACTTAAAAATGAGTATTCTAAATGTAATTCTTCAATTTTTAAAAAGCCATGACCATTGTGAACAACAAATAGAAAGTATCAGTAGGGATCTTCCAATGAAGATATGGAAATTCAAAAGCTGAAAAACATAACTCTGAAATAAAGAAAATGATACAGATTAGACATCACAAAGAAAATGGCCACTGTACATTGGAAACTACACAAACACAGAGTGAGGAAAAGGATGAAAAAGGAAGAAATAAAAATAATGAGAAGTTCAGAGACCTGTGGGGCACTACTAATTGGATAGAAGTGGTCTATCCTAATTTTAATTGGAGTACTAAAAGAAGAGAAAGAGTGAGGGGGGATGCCAGACATATCTGAAGAGAAAATGACTGAAAATTATCCAAATTAAAGGAAAAATATAAACACATAGAAATGAGAAGTTTAATAAACTCTGAGAAACACATACACACACACACAAATACACCACAGGTTATCATAATTTGATTGTTCAAAATCAATGAAGAAGAGATTATCTTAAAATCTGTCAAAGAAAAACATATAACAAATACATAAAGGGCACAAACAACAACAACAACAAAAGAACTGCCCCATTTGCATTATAAATAATATTAGCCAGGAGGCAATGGAATA